CTTGGAGAGTTTGCCAGACACGAGTTCAAAAATCTTTGATTAGAAACCTTGCCAGACACTCTCTTTGACCGGAATACTTTGAAGACTCAGCCCCAAACTAAGCAAGACGAGCGAACAACCGCTAGCTTATCACTAGCAGAACGATGGACGATTACAGAAATTCGCCAACAATCAAATTTTGTGCTGAGTTATTTCCTGCTCACAGATGTCCTTCTGCAATAAAGATTAAAATAAGACTAGAATGCGCGAGCGTGAAATGATCAAACGTCCTTTTAATTTCTAAGGCTTACCCTCCGGTAAATAAAATGAACTGAATGTAAAAAATGAAAGAGAAAAAGCGAAAAATTCAACTTCTAATTAAATCTTTTCTTATGGATTAGAATAAACTATTCTTAAAATTGAGAATGTTTTGATCAAAGCAGCGTAAATCGAACTGAAAATGTGCGTGGAACCTTGCGTTTCCTGTATTTTATCTCACCTGTTGTATGGAATATGTGTGGAAATCTTCATTATGAATCGGTATATTTCAAAGAGCTACACAACAAGCAAGAATACTATTGACCAACAATATACACAGCGGGGGCAGCTGTAGTGTCAACTATTACTAGTATAGTGACAAGGTAGGAGGCTGACAACAGCATCGGGACTCAGATCAAGCCCAAAAAAGCACAATTTTTTTTTCGTGAAAATCGAATCCAGTTGACAACTAGTCCATTTAAAAAATGGCACTGAGCTCGAGGCGCCTGGTGACAAGTATAATAATTAAGTCCCTGTGGAGGGAAGGGTGCAGTTGGACTCTGAGTGGTACTCCCTTCCCTCCATGGAGACTCATTATACTCGTCACCAGGCATCCCGAGCTCAGTTGGACCAGTTGTGATTCTAATGGCTTCTGGCTGTCATTTTAATAGGTAAACATATAAGTTCTACAGAAACTACTGGCTTTGCGTTGCTAGCTGGAGTCAGGGTTTAGAGAAATTCAAGTTCCACGAGCCTGGCGTGTTTATTTAGCAACTGGATTCAATTTTCGCGAAAAAAATCATGCTGGTTTGGGGTCCATCAGAGCCCCAGCGCTGCCGTCACCCTTCTACCTGGTCACTATACTATGTAGGAAAGATAAATGAGACTACTTTTTCCGAACCTTCGTGTGCTTATAAAGGACAACAACTACTCGCCACAAGGTAAGTTTCATCGATTTTTATTTCCATTTTCTAACAAATTTCCAGACCTAAACTTCGCCTCATATGCTCTCTCATAAATCTCAAAGATATTTTCTCTAAAAATAAACCTGCTTAAATATGAGCACAATTACTGGCACCACACACACTGTACATGTTTCACTAAGGAATAGTGAAAAAAGCTCGACGGATGGTTTTTACCATTTCACCTCACATATGTATATGTGTAAGGCACATGTGAAAAATGAGCAAAAAATCGTGTAAAAAATAAGAAGATAAAAACAATGCTTGAAAACTTATTTCACTGCAATGATTACAAGCTCAAAACCTATAGCACGTTTACCCCATAAGCTTAATTAATTTAACCATTAAATATGATGTCGTATTCGTTTGGCTTTTGTCTTTGTTAGTCAAATGCCAGTTTAGACCTCTTACTTTAACCTTACCTGCTCACATGGCCCAGGTAGTTGTCGCTCTGCGGCTAAACTGGACACAGAAGTAACGTGAAGTACTGAAAAAACAAATAACAAATAACTTACGTTGAAAAACTGTCTCGTTTCTCAAACCCCACATGAAACATTTCAAGAGTTAAACCGTTTTTGCAGTCAATTAAGCACCTTTTTTGATTGTGCGTTTTCCTTTTGAAGGGTAGACTTGAATCCGTACACAAAGTCTGTAAAAAATAACCTTTTCCATCCACCGACTTCTCCGCCATTTTGCTTGTTCTTGGTTTGTACCACGTGTACGGCGTTTTCCCAGGATCTTCGTTTGGACCACGTGACCCGAGAAGCTCTGGCCGAGAGTTAGCCGAGAGCCGGCCGAGAGTTTTACGACGTCCCAAAAGGTGTAAAAAGGAGGGAGGGGTAGAATACCATGACAAAAAATAAACTTTGCCTAGCATGGGGTTGTTAAGGCTGTCACATACGGCGTTTTTCTGGTATGTGAGTTTGTCTTTCTGAGAACTCTCGCAAACACAACGGTAGTAAGCCGCAAAATACGTCGAGCAAGATTTTCCCCTGCAGAAGTCAACTTATCGTACTCTTTAATATCCATGCATGCATATGGACAAAACATAACTGAAAAGTGGAAACGCAACAAAGATTACTAACTCGAGCCCTGAATAGAGCTGAACACCGCTTAACTGATCATAAAATATTGCGTTTTAGCCTGGGACCAGGCTCAGCATTGTGGGACTCTTGTGGGAAAAAGCTCGCTCGCCGATATTTTTCCTATTTGCTTTTTTACCCCGTTTTTTACCTTTTTCCCAGACTGTCCAAAAATGTAATTTTTTTCTTTATTTGTTTTCCCTCAAAATAAGACTAGAAATAATGTTTAATAATGTTCTAGATAGAAAAGAAACCTTTTTTGGCCATAAAAACTTCAATCTCTCAAAGTCCCAAAAATCGCATTTTTTCAAAGGGGTTAACCAATGCTTTTGATCAAAAAATGTATTATTCCTTTTATTGTTTTCCCTCAAAATAAGACTAGAAATAATGTTCAATAATCTTCTAGACAGAAAAAAAACCGTTTTTGCCCAAAAAAACTTCAGTCTCTCAAAGTCCCAGAAATCACATTTTTCCAAAGGGGTTAACCCAAACTTTTGATCAAAAACTGTAATTTTTTTCTTTATTTTTTTCCCTCAAAATAAGAGTAGAAATAATGTTTAATAATGTTCTAGATAGAAAAGAAAACTTTTTTGCCCATAAAAAAGTCCACCTCTCAAAGTCCCAAAAATCGCATTTTTCCAAAGGGGTTAACCCATGCTTTTGGTCAAAAAATGTAATTTTTTTCTTTATTTGTTTTTCCTCAAAATAAGACTACAAATAATGTTTAATAATGTCCTAGATAGAAAAGAAACCTTTTTTGGCCATAAAAAGTTCAGTCTTGTAAAGTCCCAAAAATCGCCTTTTTCCAAAGGGGTTAACCCATGCTTTTGGTCAAAGAATGTAATTTTTTTTCTTTTTTGGTTCTCCCTCAAAATAAGACTAGAAATAATGTTTAATATTGTTCTAGATAGAAAATAAACCTTTTTTGGCCATAAAAACTTCAATCTTTCAAAGTCCCAAAAATCGCATTTTTTTCAAAAAATGTAATTTTTTTCCTTATTTGTTTTCCCCCAAAATAAGACTAGAAATAATGTTTAATAATGTTCTAGATAGAAAAGAAACCTTTTTGGCCATAAAAACTTAAATCAATCAAAGTCCTAAAAATGCAATTTGTTTCTGTATTTGTTTTCGCTTAAAATAAGTGTAGAAATAATCTTTAATGACTTTGTGACTATTAAAAAGAGGTTTTTCAAAATCCCTAAAATCTTATTTTTCGCAAAGGATTTACACATGCTGTTGGTCAAAAAATGCAATTTTTTTCTTTATTTGGTTTCTGTCAAAAAGAGTATAAAAAAATGTGTAGTATCAAAGTTGACAGAAACCATGATTTCCCTTTATGACTTCTATTTCTGATTATTCTGGAAACTTGTTTCTTGTTTATTTTAGTTTGTTTTAAAAGGAATCCAATGAAGGGATTCATTTTCAGGATAATGCCATTGTATTGTTTGTTTCAATAGTTTTTTTCTTGTTTTTATTCTTAAAAAAGGAATGAAAAATTTCAACGTGGAAATGCGATGGCTTAACGAGTAGGCTGCAAATGAATTATTTCAAAAATAAATAACTTACCCGACCTACTTATTTACACAACTGGTGCACTGTTTTAAAAAGGCATTTGAACGTAACTTTTTAAGCAAGTAAAAGTCACTGTACCCTATTACTTCAGATAACTTAATATCCGATTGTTTTGTTTGACTACTTCTCCAACTTTAAGGTGGATTTCCGCCGTCACGTAACTTTGAAGTGCAAAAGCTTTTGAAAATAGAGGGGATGAATGATACAACGTGCGTAAACGTAAAATTTGCTTCAACCAATAAGAAGCACTACTCAGATCTGGGCAGTGACACGTGATCAGTATAGAATCTCAGACGTCATTTCGCGGGAAAACCAGGGGTGGCGTCACAACGTTTCGCCTGTTTTCACAGGCTACACTTTCACGTTTACGCGTGACCTTTCATATTGTGCTTTTGGTTTATTTACAGCCGTAAAATGTTACGCGCACGTACCTTATAGTCAGGTGACGTTGGAAACCCACCCTGTGGTATTAGACGAGAGATGTTTAAAAATTCACAGTTCTTCTTGAGTTAGGCCCGGTTCAGACGCCGCTCCACTCATGTGCCGAACCTAACTGATGAATTAAGTACGGCAAAAGAGCGACGTCTGAATCAATTTGGTACGGCAGTTTTAGTTTGGTGCGGTAAAAGCGTTAAGGTCGACAGAGTCTGTCGAAATTTTGTCGAACTTAACTTAGGTTCGAAACACGGTACGCCGCCTGAATCAGATGTCGCGCCAGTGTCGCTCCAAAGTCGAACTTATTCAGTTAGGTTCGGCACATGAAAAGTACGGCGTCTGAACCAGGCCTAACAATGTCGTACCGTCTTCTCAACCAATCAGAAAGTCTCATTTTATCGTCACTTATATTAGTTGTAGGCGTTTCCCAGTCCCTGTCGGCAGCTTCCTGTGTTTCCATCGGTTTATTTTTACTGTTTGAGCTATTTTTAACGGCTGGAAAATATCGCGGCAATATCGCATTCAAGAGAAACCAGATCCAATCTACACGTTTTCCTGCGTTGTAAGCCGGCTTCTTCTATTTGCTATGAGCTCTGAATGACTGATTGGTTGCATGGTTAACTGGAAAACATTCTTTTCAATCCTGGCAGGAGCTCCTGATCTTGGGAAAAGTAAATTTGAAGAAAATATTTCAGGGACGCAGAAAAATTTATCTATTGTGCGACGGATCTCCTACTCGTCCCTTTCGCAGGCGTAACGGGTCTCCCAATAGAAGGGCTGCGCGAGCCCGCGGGACTGTTATCGGCTTTCCTAGCCACAGCGGGTGACGAGCGGGATTTTGAAGCAACCCGTGGAGATGAGGAACCGGCCTTACTTCCGGTTCCAGTCCCTGTTTTGGTTCCAGTCTTAGTTGTGGTCACTGTACCGGAAGTGCTGGTAGATGACCTTCGTTTCCTGTTTGCCTTGGATTCGTCCAGTTTTACGTCTTTACCGACCACTAAATTGTTTGTTGTCACAAAGTTGATCATCCATTCTGGCATCTCACCATTGTTTGTTTTCTGTTTTTGTTTTTTCTCCTGTTTTGGTGAAATTCTTTTGCTTGCGCTGATGTTCAAGGGGTCTGGCTTGTCTGTGTTTGTGGAGGGTGGAGAAGGGGTGCCAGGGCTGAAAAACTTAACAAGATACACATATCAGAATAAATTTGAATAAAGAATACACGGTTGGTCGATAAAACAATCTGAGTTATACATAAGAAAACCAACATTTAGTGACCCACTCTATGTGCCTTTAAATTTAATTTTCAGTGACCTCTTGTTCACCTTAACTTACATACCGCTAACAGTCATCATATTATTCAATACATCAAACACTTTTTAATTGTAACCATCCAATTCATCTCATCCAACCTCACTCTTTCCGCAGTTTTATTTTTCCTGGAAAAAGGGATAAAATCAGCCCAAGGGAATATGTCAAGGACTGAATTGCGAGAAGTGAGGTTACATACCTCAACCGAAGGTACTCGTGGCGATCTTTCACCGCTGCTTCCACTTTCAGAACGAAATCTGCCTGAAGGAGAAACAGCATTCTGTCCGAACCGTGGACTCCCAGACCGGCCCATCAAGCGACCCGAGAAGGGCCTAGGTTCCAGTGATACACCGCTGTTTGGTCTAACTACAGAGATGAAAGTACAAAATAGAATCTTTATTCTGTCATACAAAACAGAGGTCAACGTAAAATGACTTCCAGTGGAAAAAACTACAGTGCCGCGTCTCTATTCACCACTTTAGAATCAAGCAACCTCGGTCGAGTTACCGTTCGCAAGGCCTTCGGGGGGACGCAAAGGTCAGCCATTTGTTACTTTTTCTTCCTTCCCGAGTACCAGTCCCAGAAGCCTTTGCGAACGTTCGATAGAAATTAAAAGTTTCCTCCTAATTTCTACAATAGCGAATAGACAAGATAAGAGAAGACCACAATTTTATTTACACCACGCACAGAATAAAAGACATTAAAAAAAGACAATACTACTTATGAAAGGTAAAGGCCACCAATAAGAGAGCTAAAACACTAATCTAGCTAGGAAGAATATGGATTAATAAAGATTATTAAACAGCTTCTTTCATGGAGGCACAAGTAGGAACAGGGTTGTCAAAATGCGCCCGCAACGGCACTATCACCGCCTACTTTAAGGTTTTTGAGGCCTGTAAATTATTGGAAAAAAGCGAAGAAAATGGACAATTAAAAAAGTAGTAAAATAACAACAATGTGTTCCCCCACCTGGGAAACACGTATCATTAGTGATATGTGCTCCCCCACCGCGGAAACACCTATCCCTAGTGACATGTGTTCCTCTATTTGGGAAACACATATTCCTAGTGATATGTGTTCCCCCACCTGGGAAACACGTATCCCTAGTGATATGTCTTCCCCCACCTGGGAAACACATATCCCTAGTGAGATGTGTTCCCCCGCCTGGGAAAAACATATCCCTAGTGATATGTGTTCCCCAACCTGGGAAACACGTATCCTTAGTGATATGTGTTCCCCCACCTGGGAAACACGTATCCCTAGTGATATGTGTTCCGCCACCTGGGAAACACATATCCCAAGTGATACGTGTTCCCCCGCCTGAAGAAACACCTATCCCTAGTGACATGTGTTCCTCTATTTGGGAAACACATATCCCTAGTGATATGTGTTCCCCCACATGGGAAACACATATCCCTAGTGATATGTGTTCCCCCACCTAGGAAACAGATATCCCTAATGATATGTGTTCCCCCACCTGGGAAACACGTATCCCTAGTGATATGTGTTCTCCCACCTGGGAAACACATATCCCTAGTGATATGTGTTCCCGCACCTGGGAAACACGTATCCCTAGTGATATGTGTTCCCCCACCTGGGAAACACATATCCCTAGTGATATGTGTTCCCCCACCTTGGAAACACGTATCCCTAGTGATATGTGTTCCTCAACCTGGGAAACACATATCCCTAGTGATATCTGTTCCCCCACCTGGGAAACACGTATCCCTAGTGATATGTCTTCCCCCACCTGGGAAACACGTATCCCTAGTGATATGTGTTCCCCCACCTGGGAAACACATATCCCTAGTGATATGTGTTCCCCCACCTGGGAAACACATATCCCTAGTGATATGTGTTCCCCCACCTGGGAAACACATATCCCTAGTGATATGTGTTCCCCCACCTGGGAAACACATATCCCTAGTGATATGTGTTCCCCCACCTGGGAAACACATATCCCTAGTGATATGTGTTCCCCCACCTGGGAAACACATATCCCTAGTGATATGTGTTCCCCCACCTGGGAAACACATATCCCTAGTGATATGTGTTCCCCCACCTTGGAAACACGTATCCCTAGTGATATGTGTTCCTCAACCTGGGAAACACATATCCCTAGTGATATCTGTTCCCCCACCTGGGGAACACGTATCCCTAGTGATATGTGTTCCCCCACCTGGGAAACACGTATCCCTAGTGATATGTGTTCCCTCACCTGAGTAACACATATCCCTAGTGATATGTGTTCCCCCACCTGAGTAACACATATCCCTAGTGATATGTGTTCCCCCACCTGGGAAACACATATCCCTAGTGATATGTGTTCCCTCACCTAGGAAACAGATATCCCTAGTGATATGTGTTCCCCAACCTGGGAAACACGTATCCCTAGTGATATGTGGTCCCCCACACGTATCCCTAGTGATATGTGTTCCCCCACCTGGGAAACACGTATCCCTAGTGATATGTCTTCCCCCACCTGGGAAACACGTATCCTTAGTGATATGTGTTCCCCCACCTGGGAAACACGTATCCCTAGTGATATGTGTTCCCCCACCTGAGTAACACATATCCCTAGTGATATGTGTTCCCCCACCTGGGAAACACATATCCCTAGTGATATGTGTTTCCTCACCTAGGAAACAGATATCCCTAGTGATATGTGTTCCCCAACCTGGGAAACACGTATCCCTAGTGATATGTAGTCCCCCACCTTGGAAACACGTATCCCTAGTGATATGTGTTCCCCCACCTGGGAAACACATATCCCTAGTGATATGTGTTCCCCCACCTGGGAAACACGTATCCCTAGTGATATGTGTTCCCCTACCTGGGAAACACATATCCCTAGTGATATGTGTTTTCGCACCTTGGTAACACGTATCCCTAATGATATGTGTTCCCCCACCTGGGAAACACATATTCCTAGTGATATGTGTTCCCCCACCTGGGAAACACGTATCCCTAGTGATATGTCTTCCCCCACCTGGGAAACACATATCCCTAGTGATATGTGTTCCCCCGCCTGGGAAACACATATCCCTAGTAATATGTGTTCCCCCACCTGGGAAACACGTATCCTTAGTGATATGTGTTCCCCCACCTGGGAAACACATATCCCTAGTGATATGTGTTCCCCCGCCTGGGAAACACATATCCCTAGTGATATCTGTTCCCCCACCTGGGGAACACGTATCCCTAGTGATATGTGTTCCTCTATTTGGGAAAGACATATCCCTAGTGATATGTGTTCCCGCACCTGGGAAACACGTATCCCTAGTGATATGTCTTCCCCCACCTGGGAAACACATATCCCTAGTGATATGTGTTCCCCCACCTAGGAAACAGATATCCCTAGTGATATGTGTTTTCCCACCTGGGAAACACATATCCCTAGTGATATGTGTTTCCGCACCTGGGAAACACGTATCCCTAGTGATATGTGTTCCCCCACCTGGGAAACACATATCCCTAGTGACATGTGTTCTCCCACCTGGGAAACAGATATCCCTAGTGATATGTGTTCCCCCACGTGGGAAACACATATCCCTAGTGATATGTGTTCCCCCATCTGGGAAACACATATCCCTAGTGATATGTGTTCCCCTACCTGGGAAACACATATTCCTAGTGATATTTGTTCCCTACGTTGAAAACAGGTATCCCTAGTGATATGTGTTCCCCCACCTGGGAAACAGATATGATACGTGTTCCCTAACGTGGGAAACACATATCCCTAGTAATATGTGTTCTCCTACTTGGGAAACACATATTCCTAGTGATACTTTTATTCGTTGTTATATGTGTTGCCCCACCTGCACAACACATATCCATAGTGACATGAGCCTTCCTATCTATTGAAATTTAAAAGAGTAGGTGACAACATGGAACCTTTTCTTTACAAGTAAATGATTGGGTTAAGTTGTCATCAGTTTTAACTGCCGATTTATCATTTGAGTAAATGGATATTAAAACGTGCAAGAATCGTCCGTGGACACCTTCTTTTCTTAGTTTGTCAACTAGTTTCTGTCGGGGTATACAGTGAAAGGCTTTTCTAAAGTCGACGAAGCATGAAAAGAGTAAATTTTGGTGCTTCTGTGGTTTGGTTTTTACGTACTTGTCAATAAGCGTTTTTAATGTGAAGATGCTATCAACTGTGCCATGCATTTTTCTGAAGCCACGTTGTTTAGCTTTCAAAATTCCTTTTTGAACCATGTAGTCGTACAGTCGATTATTGAGGATTGATGTAAACATCTTGCCTAGCGCAGAGAGTGAAGTGATACCTCGGTAATTTTCGACTTTGGCTCGATCATCCTTCTTATGAATAGGTACAATGAGACCAAAACTCCAAAGAGCAGGGTATTTGCCAGTATCTAAGATTCGATTAAATAAATTTACTAAATGCCCTTTAATGGCTTTCTTTCCGATTTTTATTACTTCCTTTAATATATTATCGATACCTGGAGATTTGTTTGCCTTCAGTTTGTTAATTGCAGCTTGGAACTCTTCATCAGTTATTGGATAATTAATTGGGCCTTCCACTCTTTCGTTGGGTTTCCGTATTCGTCTCCAGATCTAGTATATTATTGAGAGGGGTCGCATTCCGTTGCTAAAAGTATTTATAAAACTTTTCCGTTCTCACTGCTTCAGCTCCATGTGTTTTTTTTTCCTAAGTTAAAGATTTTTCCTACATGTATTTGTCGCCAGGTCTCTTTGGAGTTCTGCATATCGATATTAGACATGCCTTTGCTGATAGACTCCCGTTTCTTCCGTCTACAAGTTTGTTTGAACCTCTTCTTTTTGTCTCGCAGTAGTTTTCTCAGTTCTGAATTATTAATGTTATGAGAAATTTTCTCCCCAAGGGATTGCAAGTTTTCTTTTTCTGTTTCGCATTCCTGATCGAACCCTTTTATTTGTGATTTGCATTTAATTTCACTGCCTCTCGCTTTCCATCCGGCTTCTTTGCATGCTTCCATCAAAGTTTCACTTAGTAATTCAGACTCAGTATCGATGCTATCATGTTTGACAGCTGCTACTAACCTGGATTGAACTGTTTATATCGATAGTGATATGTCTTCCCCTACCGGCCCCACCGGGAAACACATACCGGCTACTTTCTGTTATTCTCCTGCTACCTAAAATCTTTTTGACAACCCTGAGTTACCCTGAGTAGGAAACGCCCTCATAAACTGCTCACTCCCAATAGATAACTTGCAAACAAAGATCACTCAAACTAAATCTCCTGTACCTTGGTTGATGTCCACAAGTTCGCGGTCTTCATTTATGGGGCATTCTCTAATAAAAATGAAATGAAAAGTTGACCGTAACGTTCATCACAAAACTTTACAATACTGAAAGAAATCCCCGAGCATTTACCTGAGAGAGTCATCATCACTCGCCAGTCTAAGTGGACCCTAAGAAAACAAAAAATAAAATAAAATTTAAAGTTTGTAATCCACAACAGTGTTGGAGTTTTAGTCTAAAGCTCAGTTTATAAGTGACTGATTAGTCTCAGGTTTGATTGCAGTTAACTGCAAAGAAAACATTACACTTTCATTGATCGACCTATTCCGATATTGGGCTGTATGGTGTCACTAAGACAATCTTCCACTCAAAATTTAGTCTTTTTGCAGAAAAAAGACTTAAGTTTTATCGTTTGTACAAGCTTTAACATCTCCTTTTTATTTAAAAACTATTTTTAGCAAGAAAAAGGAAATTATAGCAACAATCCGAAAGAAAGCCTTTAACCAACGCCTAAGATACTCAAAATATCGGTTGCCTTATCTAAGAGCTGCTCTCATGGAGGTTACAATTATGAAAAATAAAGTCAGAATTCAACTAAAATTACAAACACTATGTAGGTCAGCCATACCAGTCTCTTGGAACGAAGCCCAGTTGGTGTTCTAAGCTCAGCCCTCATGATGTTATTCAGCTCACGCAACTACAAGAAAAAGAGGCGGGAAATATTTGTCTTTTATTGACGTCATACGTAACTGATCAATAGCAAGACTCGAGTAGTCCAGTACCTCACAAGAACTTCTAATTTAATTAGTCGTCTAAAACAATATTGCCTTTTGTGTTGAGGGTTAGGGTAATTGTTATTTTGATTATCCTATTGTTTTCACAGCCAATCGTGTGGGCCGCTCAGTGAGATGCTGTTTGACCAATAGCAAGAGAATACCTCTTCTGCATTCATGACAGTCATATCACCAAGGATCTCTCGTCTCCAGTCTCCGGATTTTTTAACTTTCATCTAGGAAAAACGTTGAATTCAATCATTGAAACAACCAATTAATCAGTTTATCATATATTCCGTCATAATTTCACAATCTTTGTACATACCCGTCCTCTAACAGCTGGTGGAGTACCTCTACAAAGGAATAGAAGATTTACCATTATTAGAAAAATAGCTACTAATCATCGTAATTAAAGAATGCCAATAAATTGCCTTTCCACGCTCAAATTGACGGTGATTTGCTGGAATAATGATGATTGTGCGGGTCTATGACTAGGAGCCCTTATCACCAATACAAGCCCTTGGAGTCAACCCTTTCTTAAATAGATTTAAAAATAGAACGGTTCCCAGAGGAGACTTCTTACGTCGACATTCAAAAGGGCCAATCACAAAGAAGTAATGACAATGCTATTGTTCTACATCAAACAGGAAATACAGTGTTGACAGGCCAAACTCAATCATAAGCTCTAGAAACGTGATCTAGCCTTTTGCTCTAGAACATGCCTAAGAGGTTTTCTAGCTTTTATTGCTGGCGGGTACTCTATACTGTGGATAATTTTAAACACTGACTGTGTAGATATTAATTTTGGCTGCTTTTCAGAGGCCCCTGACCTCTCCCATTATTTCCAAAAGTTTATCGTCTGTAGTTCCGTCAGGATTCCATTTGCTTTGGCCAATTTTTTAAGCGTTAAGGGTTTTATGCCCGGGAACACATATAACTAGGAATATGCGTTTCCCCTATCACCAGTGCCGTCTCAAGCCTCATCATCATCATCACCATTACCTCGCTACCGTAACAACAGCATCAGCAAGTCATCATCATGTTCGTTATCACCAATACCACCCCCCAGCCTGCTAGGAATATGTGTTTGGGGCGAAACTTATCACGGGGAAACACATACCACTGTGACGTCACAGTGATATGTGTTTTCCCGTGATATGTTTTCCCCCGAACACATCCCTAGTGAACTGTGTTTCCCCTACCCGTTTTCCTGGATAGCTGATAAGGTGTTTCCCCGTAATAAGCGTTGCCCCCAACACATATCCCTAGTGATATATGTTTCCCTGCCCAGAAAACACATATCCCTATATCCCTTGAGATGTGTTCCTGGGTAATGATGATGATGAAGGTGATGTAGATGGCAAAGATAATGGTGGTGCTGCTGATGGTGGTGGTGGTGGTGATGATGATGATGATGATGATCATGAGGGTGGTGGTGATGGGATGATGGTATGTGTGATAGTGGTGATTATATTGATGAGGGTGGTGATGGTGGTGGTAGCGTGCATGATGACGAGGGTGACAGTCATGACGATGACAGTGGTGACGGCGGTGATGATGATAATGATGATGACGATGAAGCCGTGAAGGCGGTGATAATGATGATGATGATGATGACGGTCGTGGTGGTGGTGAGAGCGATGATGATTTTCATGTCGATACAAGTAATTTAATGTACTCACGGAGCTAAGGTTCCTCCAGTGGCGGATCGCTCACGATGAAAGGAATTTTCCTTTCGATTCAAAGAAGTGAAACTTTTCTCTTTCACTAATTCTTGCACCTAAGTTATTCAAGAAAAAACTTCTTTAATGAGCAGTTTTCTTTTTCTGATTCAGAAAATGATTGTAAGTACCTTATTTTCATTCTCGTCAGAGGTAGATTGAGAAGAGAGCTTGACCTTCTCACCATCCCCTCCCTCGGTGGAATGTTTCCCTTTGCGTTTTCCATACTCTGGGATTGCCTTCACTGTTCTTAAGATTACGTGAGAGGCTGCAAAAAAGTAAACAGTCATAAATTTCTCTTCCAATAAGTGATCTATAACCAATCCATAGCTGTCCGATCAGCCTTGCCTTTTGATTAAAGTTTTCTTCCTCATTGCTGATACTGATCTTCACCAAGATCCGGCTTCTATACGTGCTGTTTGTCTAAGTGGTCCTACACAGTTCGCTGATCTTACTGATACTTCTAATTTGGGAGAAAGCGTTTGGGTCTACACACAAAGTGCGCCTACTTATCCCTACTATATCACAGGTATGTTTTCTTTCCTCCACAAGGTGATTCTAGCTGTTAAATCTGGGAATAAAACTGTCCTTTCTTTTCTTTATAGTTAGCTTGTGGGCAAACTTTTGTGGAGGAGAGAATCCCTGACAAATCTCTCAACTGCAAGCGGTCAGGAGGGTTAACACAGAGAAGAATTCAAGATGAATGACACGTGGTATACACTATTCACTATCTACAGTACCTGTAGGTAATACAGTCTGGTTGCCACTTAAGCAATTAAACTGTGTCTTATAGAGTGTTTTCACATGACGTCACGGCGGCCATATTGGTGTCCCAAAACAATGAAATAGCGGCCATGTTGGTGTCCCAAACTAATCCTGTGGGAGTTGAACTCTTTTCTTATGCAAACGCTTTCTTTTGTTCCAATAAATTTGCATAGATGCCGGCCACGTGAGTGAAAACACTCTATACATCCTTACCAGGGAACCAACCGACTTTGTTTTTGCAACGGCCTTGCCACCAATCATCTTTCTACGATAAAAATTTGAATAATATTCAGACAAATGTGATAGTTGTGATTATTTGAGTGGCGTGCAAGTGTTAATAAGTAAATCGAACATTTGAAAACATTTCACACCACATCATGCCACAGTTATGTTACTATAGTCATACCACAGGTGTAGTATGTAGCACAGTTATACCAAAGCTATGTACCACAGACATACCGAGGCAATGAACCACAGTCACACCTCAGCTATATATATCCTAATCTTACCACAATTATATCGTAGTCATAAATTAAAGTTCTGCTTACCTTCAAAAACACAGTGACTTCATCACCCACTTGTAAATCCAAATCATTATCTCTTAGTCCTCTAAACGTAGTGACCACGCGCACTTTTTGTTCGGCATTTGCCATACTCTTCCTCGCTTGTTTTTTCTCCTTCATTCGTTTCTTTAGAACACGTTCACGCTAAAACAGAAAAAACGTCACTAATACAACACAAAAACTTTTTAACGAACACTCAAATATAAAAAGACTTTGTACCTTGTCGCCCTTGCCTTCACCAACTTCATCCTTTTCAAATTCAAAAACTTCATCCTGTATTGAATTAAAGGGTTTGTAAACAATATGAGGTATCATCAACGACACAATTATCATCCATATAATTATTTATCACGACCAGTGTCACTATCGTCCTTATTTACATCATCATCATCATCGCCACCAATACTAGCACTGTCACCATCATTAACATCATTACCACCACCATCGTCATTACTATCATTATCACCACCATCATCATCATCACCACCACCACCAATACTAGCACTGTCACCATCATTAACATCATTACCACCACCATTGTGATTACTATCATTATCACCACCATCATCATCATCATAACAATCAGCAAAGTCACAATAATCATCATCAACACCGTCATAAAAAAAAACTGCATCTACACTATCATCGTTATAACAAACATAACGAACACCGGACTCTGTAATTCATCAAAATTACCTCTTTCTTGCCATTTTCCTCGGCCTTCTCCTCTGGAATTGAAGGTCTTCTATTCTGAATGAACAAAAAATAATGCAAACATCTAGGTATGATGCAATACTGACTGCATGAAAAGAGCACTTAACTTGTCATAAGCTAATAAAACACTAGCGTTACCTTCGCAATGGAGCCACGTTTTAATGTACCCCTTCTCACGTTTAAAGATTCTACAGCTGCCAGGGATTGCCTTCTTTCTGCAACTTGGTCGACCTGCAACAAGGACACAAATGTCTGCAAATGAATTTCCTCTTGAAACACCTAAAAACTTGCCACTCTTTCACCTTGCCTTTACGAAACAAACTTTTCCTCTCCACCTCTCTGTTGACTTAAACTACCAGCAAAAGTTTGTATTTTGGAGGCGGAAGTTATTAACCGTTGCACGTTTTTCTTGTGACTTCTGCTAACAGGGTTACCAGCTCAACAAACGGTCCTTTTGAACTCACCCTTACGCTTCCAAATAAACTGCTTGCTACACTGCTAATCATATAAACAGCATGGTGTTTTGCTGAAGCCTATAATAACATAAAAGATAAACGTTACTACTACACACGGCTATAGTGTCTACAACCAACAGTCCAACGAAAATGATATTTCAAAGGTAAGGGTTTCAGTTTTTTCGGCACCGTTTATAAAAAATTAAAAAAAAATAAAATCTCTTTTTATGTCCCACCAGTGCTACTCTCATGAGATTAACTCTGTACCAACAAATCTGTGACCTTGTGTTTGTCTTTGAAGGATGACATTTCAAACTTTTTACTTTTACGTTATTAATCCGCAAAGGCGGTAATTAACGCGCTGATATAAATTTTCCACTCTAAAATTCAGTTATCTCTCACAAAGAGAAGCATGGATTAAATAAAAATACTCAGTGCGTAAATTACTTGTAATCTGGAATGATTGACTTTAGAGCATTACCAGAAGATGGGAGGAGGAAAAAAAGAGGAACCGGGGGAGGGAGGGAGGGAGGGGTAGGGAGAAGTAAGAGAAGAAAAACAGGAAAGAAGGCAAGAAAGGAAAAAAACAAGAAGAAACATTCTCCACCCCAAGAATCTTTTTTCGTGAAGAGAATGAAAGAAAAAAGGTTCATACATCAACCGTGGGAGGTCGCTGTTCTGAAGACTGCCTTTCTATGTGGGGTCTAAGCTGATGCGGATCTTCGTCCAATGTCCCGAGTTTGTTAAAAGCTTCAATTGCAATGGCTACAAACAAACTGAAACAAATAAAACATGAATTAGCACGGGTGAGATACGTTCGTTTGAGTAAAAAATACCGACTTCGCTTAATTCACTTCAAACAGCACTATAGCGCTTTACAAAACAATAGAGACTTTTGGATTCTAAAACGAGGACGACAGACGGACTACGAGGACAAGATTTTCTTAACTGTTAGTTGTGCGTGCACGTGAATCAGCGTCATTTTGGTGGGAAAACGTGGTAGCCGTCGTCATTTTACTATGAGTTAAATACACAGTGTACAATAGCCTGCGAAAACATCCGTTTCTCCTCGCTCTTCGCCGCTGGGGACGTTTCGCGAAACGTCCCCATCGGCGAAGAGCGAGGAGAAACGGATGTTTTCGCAGGCTAAGTGTACAACGAATTAACGACCAAGCTCACTTCATGACAACCATATTGACCAGAATATATGCTGCAACAAAGTAAAGACTGGTCCAGTTATTTCCAGTGGCTTCCATTACCTAGCAAAACACAAATCAATGAAAAGGAAAGTCAACAGGGAAGTGTTTTATACAACAGATAGAAGAAATAAAAATCAATTTGGAAAAGACATATACAGAGCACTTAGATTCTGAAGAAAGTGGCGTCTGGCGTTTGAAGCGTTATCCAAGAAACTGTGCGTCGTGCGTGAGTAATAGGGAGCTTAAGCCACAATGACGTTGACGGCTACAGAAACGTCACTTCAAAAGTGAAGTCGCCCTGCTTTAAACTTCGCGCCTATTACATGTCGTTCAATTCGTCAAATCTTGGCAATTTTCTCTGGAGTTGAAAACTAAAAGATTGTATCGATGTTCAGGAAAAGAACAAGAAAGTCGTTGCCTTCACAGGGTTCACGTCCTTCACAAAACAAGAAATCAGGCATTTCCACAGCGTAGTCGAACAGTAACGGCAAAGAAAGTACAAAAAAGCATGATGACTTGCAAACTTGTTGTTTTGCTCAATAAACCTATAGTATTGCTTATTTGACGTTCTCGTCGCCGTCGCTCGTCGTCGTTGCTAAAACTCCCTAATTTATCAAATGGATCCCCTAGTCGACGAAACCATTTAGACAAGACTGGGAGGGCGGCTAGTTTTGTACCAGACACAAACTTGCAAACGTTGAACATGACTCACCGAGTTCATGATTTCGTGCCAGTTGCTCGTGGTTACCATTTGAAATAGAATCAGGACGGAACACCTGGGAGAGGAATAAAAAGAATTAACTTGAAGGTAATCAGAAGATTACCACAACCACACTTTGGCTTTCCCTTTCAATAGAACAATGCTCTGACCGGTATCTATTACAATTTGCCTGGATTTTGAACAGGCTGGAAAAATCCTCATTGTGCTTTGATATTCCAGAGCTTTTTCATTTTTCAAAGTTCTAAATCATGATAATTATTTGTCCATAATTATGATCATATTTATCATAACAACTAATTACTGGAGCAGAACCAACGTGTATAAATTATCATAATTATCATAATCAATTTTGGGAGAGGAATTAAGAGGCATAATTATCATAATTAACAGTTGACTTGAGTCGTCCAAGTTTGAAGAGTTATCATATAGTTAAGATGGGTCTCAAGTACATACCAAAACGTTTGAAATCCCAGGCCACAAGCCGGAAGATACATGTGTCCCTCACTTGTCTCGGGCGCGCCATGAAATAACTCCATTCCTACACTGGCTATCAAATACCTGCAAGTTCATTAGATACAAGTAAAAAAACAGACTTAAGAAAAAGCAAGGGCAGGCACCTGGGTTTTACAGAAAGTTACCCTTTGACTACTTCGAACCTCACCTGTTTCCATAAAAAATTTTAAAAAAATGTTATGGAAATATACTGGTGATGGACTTTCATTAGGTGCGAGCTTTCAAAATAGCTGGTTTGTAAAATAACCGAAATCATGTATGCGCTCTGACTGGTCAAAACCAATTTATAAGAATTAAACAGCGGTAAACTAGAGTTACTTTAAGCGAGCAATAGCTCGATATTTCTACCGATTTACAAGCGTAAAAAATACACAGAAACAACAATAACAACAACAACAAGGATGATGGATGAACTCATCAGTTAGTTACTGATCGGTAGACGCACCCAAGGCAGTTTGTTCTATTGCTTGGATAAATTAGGAGGTCTCTCACATAGTCACTGACACATTACAAACACTCGACATGAATTAAAAGTAAAAGTGTTAAAGCTATAAAAATGGGAGAAAATAATCTTATTAGACGGTTCACACTCCCCTATTTTTCCGTAAGGTCGTCGAAATTGAGCGCTTTACGTTATGGGCGGCCATCTTGGACGAGTTTCATATGAAACCAAGATGGCCGCCCGGAACGGTAAGCGCTCGATCCTGAAGATCATGCGAAAAACTAGGGGAATGTGAACAGTCTATAACCTTACACAATAATTCCTAAAAGGCACAGAAGATCCACCATAATGGGTGCAATTCTTAGGAAGATAGAAACCGCTTGCTTGAGTTGTCTGTTGTTGAAAGGTAGTCGACAGAATACAGCGAGGCTTGATATTGTAGTTGCGTAATTTCTAAACCAAAAAAAGTCAGGATATCTGGTGTACCACACGAAGTTTGAGGAAAAAGCCAGGGCCGTCTAAAATAAAGAGAAATAAAAATAAACATACTGCCGAAAGGGCAGGTTTCAAATATTTTGTTCATTACTGAGCAATAAATTCATCCTAATTTATAAATAGTTGATTCTTCATTCTCTATGTAGAAACTGCTCACCAAAAATAGATCCATAATCTCGAGAGGTTCTATAATTTGTTTGCCAACCGCTAAAATTCGCATTATGCCTTCAAACTGTAAAATGAAAAAATAATAATACAGCTCATATCCTTTTCTAAAAAACTACCATATTAAGGGCCATATTAATTAACTATATGGTATTCAAGCAGTGAACATTTGTCTATGTCTTTGCACCCTCAAGTAATGGCAACGTAATACCCCCGGGAATTTCTTTGTGCAGACGTTCAGCCTTAACCCGTCTCCAGACAGGGAACGTGAAAATTTTCAAACCCTTTTAAAATAAGACTTAATTGCAAGAAACTCAGGCCCGAATCTTGAAGTCATATTTGCATTCACAACTGGGCCTTTGAAGTGATACCTGTTTTTATGTTTATATGACCCTACATTAACCTAGGGTGTTCCACAAAACTAACGTATTTCAAACAGGTGCCCCCTGGGATTGATTTATATCTTTTTTCCCCTGTTGCCCTTTTATCCCCTCCTACCCTTCCATATTTTGCGCCTGTGACGCAAGCTATCGCCTACGAGATATCCAACACTTATAATCATCCCCACCAGCCTGGAGAAACAGCCATCATTAAAACCATTGTCTTACCAACCTTAAAATACCTTTGACATACTGAAATATACGTACCAAGAATATTGTTACTATTATGCTTCTAGTCACTGCAGCAAGAAATTAACAAAAAATAAATAAATAAAAATGAAAAAATGGGAATAGGTAATAAGCGAGGTATGGACTGAACACCAGAATCACAAACAGCAGCCCATCGCTCCGACCGCCATTTCGTATAGAAGCCTTGGGTCACAGTGTGGGAAATATTTAGCCAATAGGCTATTTATAGATTCAGTTTTCCCGCCAAAAAACTCGCAGCCAGTCATAGCAGAGTAGGATTTCCATCAAAACAAGTCAAGACCAACGAATAGAATGTAACAGGACCTCTTTCAAAAAGTTTAATACCTTGCGAGCAAGCTCTCTGATTGGCTAGCGGCCTCTCGCTCTCTCGTCTCTTTCGCGTTATCCTCGCGCGTGACTTTTCACGACATCCTTTAAATGGAGAGCTTGTTCGCAGGCTAGAATATCAACTGTCTTATCGGATGGTGCAGAGGTGTGTTCACGCAGCCTGAATAGGCCCTTTGCAGGTAACCATTCACGTGGTACAAAATTGCCGTGCTGGAGAGAAAAAGTCGTACTGGGACAAGACAAACAAAGGAAATTACCAGTTAAAATTATGTATGCCTTTTGTTTGTCTTGTCCCAGTGTGACTTTTGCTCTCCAGCATGGCGGTTTTGTACCATGTGAATGGCTAGCTGCAAATGGCCTATTTCGCAAGAAAAACAATCTAGAAGTCTATGGCGCCGTGACACTGACACGTTGCTGATGGTAATGGACGCCACCCCGTACAACGCCAAACTGTAGGACATTTTTTTTGCCCCTCTCTAGCATAGCGTTTTCTGTGTTGTCACGAAGTGCTCTTCAGTAGGAAGGAGTGTTATGTGATCACACAATTAACGTAGTGTAAGACAGTAAGAGACTATTTGTTCCCTTGGCCGACCCTGACAGCTGAAAAAGGGAAGGACAGTAAATAATATGCTGACCTACCTTGGACAATTAACTCGACCTCAAGACTTTCACCTTTCCATTTGAAGGCAAAGAGAATACTGTGAACAATCATGAATAAAAAACGAAAAATTACCTAGAGAAATTACGGGCAACCCAAGACTATAAAGCCAAAAGCAACTCATAAGTAAAACTGACATTACTCAGAATAACAGAATTGATACACTAAGCAACACGCCTAGCTTATTTTAACCTCCGGTTCCCTGCAAAGAAACCTGACAGTGTCTTAGATTTTTAAAGTCAACTTCAGTGCAAACCGCCTGACCCACACTTTATTTATACTACAATTCTTTCGAACCAAACTAAAAACTCGCAGCCATTCACCAGACTTTTATGGCCATTAGGCAGTTGCAGACCAGTGTACGGATAATGGGCCCAACAAATAGTTACGCGGCCGTTTTCCCGCGCTTGCCAACGGATGCACGTATCAGCTTTCAGTTCTGATTGGTTCTTACTGGCAGCGCCTGTTGTGATTGGCCAGCAGGGCGGATAAAGGTTGGGCGGTGAAACGAGCCAACCTTTATCCGCTCTGTTGGCCAGAGTAAATACATACGCGGGTTTTACATATGTTTCTTACCAGTGTAAAATAATAAGAAGCAGGATGAAATGTGAGAAGACTTCAGTCTGAAAACAAGAGAAACGAGCAATAAATACTGCAATACAGTAACTCCTAAAACCTTCCTTGATGGTCACACTTTGACGTTAAAACTGGACTGGTAACGCAGAGCAAGCTCAGTGGCTTTTATTTCAATAGTCACACCACAGTATTAATAGTAGGAGGCACCTTCTACAGCATCATAACGGGAAAGATACTCCCTTAGCTTTCATATAAACGACCATAAATCATTACTTCATCAAGACACCAAAATAATTCGAGCACTTTGCTGAAAAATATGGATAGTTATACAACAAATAAATAAGGGAAACAGTGTACCTCGGTAAGAAACTTGGCAGCCTCTCTGATCCTGATCATCCGTTTTGAAAGACCAAGCTGCAAAATGATCACGTGCGTTATATTAATAAGCAGAATTCATACTGCATCCCGATAATTTGATAGGCAGGATTTGACTGAAATACTGTGTAGAATTAATTCTTCCACAGCAGTTTCAAGTCTAAATTCGTTGATACTTTAAAGTACCTGGGTTAGGTAAGGAAACAGGCGCGCACGAAATTCTCTAGTTTTTTTTTTAACTTTAGTTCTCCAGTTTTTGTAATCACTCTTGACTGGTTCAGAAGATGACGCGCGTTATGTCAACCAGTCACAACGCACAAGCATAAAGCAATCTTAACACCCCTTTGCGACAATAGACACACGCATAGAAGTTTATAAGACTTAAATCCCCCCACAGGATCAGGAAAGTGGAAGAACACGTCACATTGCACACCCCGCGCAATACAGAACGCTGACTCACGGTTTCATCAAGTAGTAATAGATCTTCATCATCTTCAAATTCGAGGCTTAAAACCTGCCAAGTAAAATTTAACATTAAAAAATGAAACCTTAGAAATCTAAAACCAATGAAATGTTTATAATCATGAACGTACTAAGGGCTGATTTTCCTGTTAAGCAGTTAAGCCACTGAGCAAGATCCGATACAAGTGTCGTATTAGACAAAAGATGGGCATACCCTTCCAGGGTACCCTTGAGTGTATAAAAACGTTACCTGACTCAGCATAGTGGTCCACTCAAATGAATCGACCTCTCCATCCTCATTAGCATCCAGCATTTCAATTAGCATAAAGTTTTCTGGTTCTGAATTCTGAGGAAAAAAAATGGAAGGAGGATAGCACCTAAGTAGCAAAGAGGATAAACAAACGTGGATACGTTATGGATACGATGTCGATATAATGCCAGTAACAAGCAGTCTGGTACAACATAAAGAAACGACGTAAAGACGACTATGATACAGTATGATAGAAACTGACTAGTCCTTAGTGGTCTCTAATTGCACGCGAGCAATAGAACGCGAGAAGCGTGACCAAGAGGAGCGCGAGGGATGATGGGAAGAAAGAAAACGATAGGGAGAATCTCCCCCTTTTCCTCCTTCCCACCAACCCTTGCGCTCCCCTTTACAGCGCTTCTCGCGTTAAGATCTGTTCATATTAATAAGAGACTGAGAAACGACTGGGGACTAGTCAGCCACAGAAACGATACAGATATACGACGATATGAGGCAGATATGAGTCGTGTACTAATTAAGCACTTGCGTCGCAGGTATAATTCAGATACGTTACAGATTTGTCTCACGTACCATGCAGATGATTTGCAGGTTTCCCGTGGATATGTTGCATGCATGACTCAGATACGATGTTGATATCACTCAGAAACGACTCAGTTATGAATCAGATGTAATGTAGATATGATGCAAACAGGACAGAGAAATAAGTGTGATACGACGCGGGAATGACTCACAAGAATGCAGATAACATACAGATGTGTTCTGCATTCGATACAAATAAGACAAACGTACAATGATTCATATGCGATGCACGAATCACACAAGTGCAATGCATATACGACGAGGATATGACCAAGATACGCTACAGACACGACTCAGATCCGTTACAGATATGGCTCCGAAACGATACAGATACGATGCAGGGAAGTCTCATTCACGATGCAGATACGACAAAGATTAATAAAGGAGATAAGAAAGAGATACGATTCAGATGCAACGCAGACAAGACACAGATTAGTTCCAGATAGGATAGAGATGTCACTATGATACGAAGCGTGTACGACTTATGTACGATACAGATATGTTCCAGATACGATACATAAAGGTTAGAAATATGACTGTGATGTGATGCAGACAGGACTTAGGTACTATGCAGATACGACTCAGATGCGATGCAGAAATGGCTCCAGGTACGATGCTGATACGACGCGCTTATGACTCAGATACGATGTAGACACGACTCAGATACGATGAAGACACGATTCAGATACGTTACAGATACGACGCAGGTATGACTAAAAACTATACAGATACACAGATACACAGATACGAAGCAAAAAGCATAGAGATAGTACTAAAACATAACTCAGATACGATGCAGACGAGATGCATATGCAACAAAAAGACCATGCGGACAAGATGGTTAATCCCTTAAGCAGACTCTCGTAATTAACTGGTATTTCCTTCCCAAAGACGCTTGCTCAGTTTAATTTACTATTGTGATGAAGCAGTTACTAGTTATGACTTAACAGGAATCTTACCTTTGGTTTTAAAAGTTGAAAAAGCTTAATGAATTTCTCGTCATCAATACTTAAGGCTCCTGGCAAAGATAAATTAAGTTAAAAGCAGTACTCTCTAACGTTTTTTATTTTAAACCATTTTATCACCTACTTAATTTTGAACGTCTTGTTAGAAAAGCTAATTAGTTGTGCCCTCCTTGTTTTTAAAACATGCACAAACAATTAGCTTCAAGTATTTCAGTTCAGTTTTTGCCCCGCAGTGTACCAAACTACCAAAAACATAGGCGAGTCGACCGTTTTCCACCCTCTCTGTTAAAGTGTGAATGAGGTGTGTTGCTGCCATTTTATCGCAAAACAATAACACTCCAGGATCTTCCAGAGGTGCATTTCAATGAAGAATATGAAACTCACCCTTTCCTAACGGATCTAAAAGATTCCAAGCTTTTGCCAGTTCAGCTCGTTCCCTGGATCGTTCTTTCTTAACATGCTTCTTAGAAAAAACCCTGAAGTCAAGATACAGAAACAGAGAAAAACAATTTAGTGTGCTTAACGATCGAGCATCCATCTGTGTTGATGTTTAAGGCAATTTGTTTGGTTTTCACCAGACAGAAAGGCAATAGAAACAGATTTCAAGGTGGTTAAAAAGAATTTTCCTACATCTGTTCCCGATGCTGATGCACCTTTGGTTTTTCAATCGTTTATCTCATCCTGTTTTCAAACCAAAAGAGAGTATCTCTTATTTCAAACCACAAAACAGGATGATCATGACCACAAAGCATGATGATAACAGATCAATTTAGGTTTCCGGGAAACTGCCCACCTACCCCTTCCCTAAGTCAACATTAACACTTACTTCTCACTTAGGGCAAGATGTTGGGTTGGGGGAGGGGTAGGTGGGCAGCTTCCGGAAACCTAAATTGATCCATGATAACGATGAAAATGATAATGTAGGTGGTGATGAAGATGACCATGACGATAATAATGATGATGATGAGGATGATGGTGGTGATGATGATAACAGTGGTGGTAGAAATAGTAATGATAATGATGATGATAGTGATGGTGGTGGTGGTGGTGGTGGTGTTAATGAAGATGACGATGGCAGCGATGATGATGATGATGATGATGATGGTGATGGTGGTGGTGGTGGTGGTGGTGGTGATTATGATGATGATGATGATGATGATGGTGGTGGTGGTGGTGTTAATGATGATGATGGTAGTGGTGGTGGTGGTGATGATGATGATAATGATGATGATGATGATGATGATCTTAAACAGTTACGATGATAAACGCAAAGATTGTGGTGTTGGTTGTAATAACGGCAACACTTACCAATAGCTGTCCACCACAATGGCCAGTAGAATCGCCGTTAAGAAGAACACTCCAACAAATACGTACAATCCTGAAGAGAAATTAAACACACTTTCAGCCAATACCGGATTGGCTTAGTATGGATAGCCCAGAAAACAGCCTCAAGTTCGGGACAGCCCCATAAGGGTACGTAAGGGCTGGAACACTTGAAGGAGTTGCATTTTATGTACTCACCAAAATAAACAAAATATCCCGGATGTACCCTAAGAGCTGGAAGCAACACCTCCTGTGAAGATGAGGAAAATCAGGAAAAGGAAGATGAAAAAGATGGAAATTACAGCAAGAGAGGAAATTGCCAAAATTTATCTGGTCACTTGAAAGGTTGTCTTTCTTTCTTTATAGAAAAATTTATTGTTCTAACACCCTTCTTTAAGAAAATGTAAAGAATATTAGCGAAAAGATTGTTATTCTGCTCTGGCAAAAACCCAAGAGAAACAACTAATTCAACTGAAACTCAAACTCAGGAAAATTAGAGAAATTTGAATATTTCGTTCGAATCTCTCAAACTTCAAGAGCGACGTAAAATGAATGACATTCGATTACATAGCTTAGTTGAATTTGTTTAAACTTTTTTGCTCCGAGAACAGTACCTAAAAATATCACCAGTGAACAAAAAGCAGAAGCTTCAATTTGAAGGAGAAGTCTATGATTTCCTGGCAGCTAATTCAGTAAAATAAAAGTGATAATACTTGTTACGCAGTGTACTAACCGGGAAATTTTCAGTCGACAAGAGGACAAAAAGTCTTAACATTGCAAAGGCAACATGGTTGAATGCCCTAGAATAAAAGAATAAAATATGTCATCACGACTGTTAGAGAAACTTTCAAATCAATATGACAAAAAGAGACCACAGATAAAGAAAACTCTTTAAATACTCCTACCCTTTGTAAACCTTTTCTTCATCTTCCACAAAACAAGGAACACTTTGACTATAATAAAATAATAGAGATAAGGGAAGTAAAAAAAGACACAGACAACTTTAAAAAGTTGGGTGTCAATGTTTCCAAAGGGGAACTAAGACATCTGAATCTGCCCAGTGCAACTACGCTATAAAAAAATCTACTTTTATTGGCCTTTGAAAACACAAACAACCTGCGAGCCTCCTTTGGTTTGAAGAAAAGGAAGCTCTGCCTCAATCCAGCAACCCTTGGAAATCGCCACACTGAACCAAAACTTAGTGACTAGTCAATCTCGTTTTCTATCATCAAGCTAGCTTTTTCAAGTATGAGCATCTGCATGGATCCATCCATCCCTGACTTCCTCTCGGAGGTAGTTATGAAGACCCCTACTGTGTTGCAGTTTTAACTACTGAGACGATAGATCTTGAAAATCAGAAATCCTTGTGACGCCTAACGGCTTTTGCATTTTGCAATGCTAGGTCTTACCCATGGTGAAATGTTGTGGAAGATGAATTTCCTAATGGTCCATTACAGTCATACGCATCCATAAGAACATGGACTCCAACAGAGGCAAATAATAGAACAAATACTAGAATTATAAAAAATAACTAGAGAAGGAAAAAACAAAGCAGAATATTACAAAACGTTTTACGCTACAGGGTCAAGAGCAGTAAATTGACATTCCAAAGATGTATGGGAGATTTTTATAGGGGGATGGGGTGGGGTCAATATTGGGAGAGGTATTGAGAAGGTTAAAAGGATAGATGTAACTTTAATTTAACTACTAAAAAACCGGGTACCTTTGAAAGTTTAAATCCTATTGTAAGTAATACCTGCAAAACAAGAGTGCATACATTTCATTCAAGTTAATACTACTGATGTCTTGAGATAAAATTATTCGGCAAGGAAATCTTGAAGACAAATACAATAGTTCACTAGTCCTGACGATGCAAAATTTACTTAACTGCACTTACATTAAAGATATGACGGATATTCTTGACTTTGCACAAAATAAGAGCTAATCTGAGGGATCTAAAAATCTGTGGTATATACTGGGGAGAGAAAAAAAGGAAATGAAACAAAATTAACATTGAAAACTACTCTAGCCAAAATTGAAGGCTGACAAATTAAGCAGTGCCATGTAAGTAGAATGCTCACTATATTTATAATAAGTATTTTACCTACCACTTCAGAAAATCTAGATGCCAGTAATAATATAAAGTCCACAGTGAAACAACAGACAAGAACAAATTCCACCCTGAAATATTAACAGGAACAATAACATCATCAAATCTTCTTTTCTTGTCATATTTTCATTGAAAATTATACATAGTAAATGATTACTCCAAAAGGTTTCATCCACAGACTCAAAAGGTAGGATCATCTTACAAGTTGCCACCATTCACTCTGCAAGTTAAAAGGATCTAAAACACAACCCAAGAAAAACAAATGATTCTCTTTAGATCACTTTCAGTGAAATGTATAAGGTGGGACCCTAAGTAACATACCCTTGGCTTGCCGTTATAACAAACACAATTTACTAGTCCCCCAACACCTCGTCACATTGGGGTTTTCACTGTCTGTACGTGCAGTCACTAATGACATCATGCAGGGTGAATACAACAGCAGAGCCAAAATATGAAGAACTGTCTTACCCCAAAAAATCTGAAAATGTGTGACCCCATTCTAGTAACTCTAATGGAAATGTAACCCCATTATAGTCAATCCAGTCATGAAAATGTAACCCCATCCAGCGGCACATCCCCATAAGCCTCTTATAAGGAAGTACACCCCCCCCCCCCCCCCCCAACACCAACTCACCAACCAAAAACGATGCACCACCCCCCGGGCCCCCCCCCCCAAACCTCATAATAGGGAGTCGCCCCCCCCCCCCCCCAGGCAACTACCAAAGCCGTGGTGCTTCTTTCAATAGAAATCTGGGAGAGCTAATTTCAGAAAGGTGGAAGGGGTAAGCTACTTTAATATTTCCCAAATTGAGTCAAAAGTCAAAATTACCCATTCCACAGTCCTCCTTCAGCTCTTCTGGACCAAAATACAGGCCACGTTAGAAATATAATGTGCACCACAACATCAAAGATGAACAGCAAAATGCAGAAAAGATTAAGGGCAAACACCATGGGATGAACACTACAAGAAACAAGCAGATTTGGCTAAAGAATCCAAATTTTCAACATCTAATATCATCTAAACACGAAACCAACAAAAAAATAGTCCATAACATTAACTACTGATGATGGTGAAAATGTTTTTGATAAACACACCAACATTAACTTACCAATACTTAATTATCTGTAGATACTGTAGAGAGACAAGGTTATTTTTCCCATTGAACCAGATATAGACTCATAAACATACAACATGTACATATTTAACATGAACAACATTTACACATCAAGACAATGATGTATAACCTGCACATTAATGTACGAACTGTTTGTAAAGTACTTGCTGCGACACACCATGTACCACAATTAAATTCAAATTGACCTAAAAAAATTCAAGGGATTATTAGATGTAATGTGAACATATCTATAAGCTGAAATCCCATGCAGGAGAGAGGAGCAAAGAATAGGTTTAGGTAAGTCCCTTCCCAGGTGGGATCCCTGTGGTTGACGCAACTCTAACTTGGGGACATAGCCCTATATAATATTATTCACAGGAGACGAAAGAAATTCTGGATTAACCCAAGAATAGATTTTACCTGCGACACAAACACTTCTTCCTACCTTAACACATTTATAGTTGGAGGCTCAAAGAAAATGAGGAAGGAATGTATCAGAGAATTGCAGATGACAGCTCGACGGAACCAAGGGTTGTCCAGAATATCAAAACACCTAGAGAACAGAGCAAATTTTAGACAGACAAAACTGAAAACTAACAACAAACAAATAATTTTCCATGCACAGAATCATACCTTTTGGCTAACCGAGGCTTAAAATATGAGCGAGCTTTTCCATAACTTCCTCTAAGATAAAACAGAAATTAAAGTTTTTAGACTATACTGATGGCTGGTTTATAAACCATCTGGCACTTGACAAACCATGCAGCTTTAATCTTTACCTTCCTTTTAACGCATCATCAATGTGAGCGGCTGCTAACTTTAATTCTCTGTGTGAACCTTGTAAATCTCCAAACTGCTTTGTGAGTGCATCAGTCTAAGTATATACAAAAATGTCTCATTACACTGACCATTTCACTTCTTATACAGTTGTACCTCCATTAAGCGGCCACCCTCAGGGTACTGGCAGGTAGCCGCTTGATGGAGGTTGGCCGACTTGGTAGAGGTTCATCATAAATTAGCATATAATCTTTAGCATCACTTTATTCGGAAACAACTTCCAATGTCTTGCTTCTCTTGCTGAGAGAGAATCATAATTGTCTGGATGATGTACATTACAAAGTCGTATCAAGTTTTTTCTTATGATCCTGAATAAAAACGGTATTTTTCCGAGTGGGTGTTGAATATAAATGAGGCAGGTGTTTATCGGTAATTCTTGCTTCCATATGCAACATTTAATTTATGCCAGTGCTTATTCAAGGGTGGCATTTGATCGATAAAATACTGTACTGCCATAAATCACAAGGAAAACCCACCAAACTCAGACCTTTCTTCTAATAAAATTTGCACAACTTTCCTTAGCAACCGTTGATAAGGAATGCATGCTGCACTATTAATATTTTAAAAACTGCTTTTCAGGACGTCAACTCGAGGTTGAAAACAAGATGGTAATTTTTAAGATGCAAGTGACAACCGAACCATAATATCTTGTATATGACCTCATATGTTTGACGCAAAAGAAATACAAATGTAATCACAAAATAATTGTCACCCGAGGTTAAATTGAATGATCACTTTTTGACACTCACATCTGTCTAGTCACCTGTTTTGGAATTCGGCAACTTACTAGTAACCAAAGACTTAGGACTCAAATTAAACAAAACTCACCCCATCAGCTTGTGGAAAAAGGGCTAATGCAGGGACCAAAAACCCAAATTGCCCAAAGTTTTCCACCGATGATCGCCGCTTCAAGGTTCGAAACTTCTCTCCAGTTCTCAAGTTAAACAGAGAACTTTGTCCGGAACAAGGGATAGAAGAGGAGCAAGATTTCTCTTCCAACACATCGCTAGAAAAGGGGCTTTCATTCTCAACAAGAATTGTAACACTAGTGCTTCTTTCAGTCGCCTCATCTTCAGTCACTTCATTGTCAGCCATTATACCCAATATAAAAAGCTTATTAACACTAATTGATTTACAGCTCCTGCCCGCAAAATAGAAGCCTTGATCATCTTGAAGGAAACGCCAGCTTATTAAATTGCACACACCAGGTTACATGATGAAGTTGCCCGTGTACACAAATCTATTTTGCGGAAGAAGGAATGCGTTGAAATTTCTTGCGGTGAGGTTTATCTATTAAAATGGTACTTGAGGTCGTAAACAACAAAAATACAGCACAAATGTAACAGTGCTTAATCTCCGGCCCCGAACACGTTGAAATTGTCACCATGAGATCATCAACTTTGGTTTTGTACACATCTAATCCATTACCAAAACAGTTTTGGTACCAAATTGTGTCCCTAGAATCCTTAACGTAATTAACAACTCACTCAAAGCGATCAAAAATTAAGTTAAAGCTTTCAGCCTCGTCCGGCAGCAAGATGCTCGATGCGTAAAACGAAAGGTCATTCGATATTGGCTCCAATAAACTTTTGTGAAACCGTGAAAGCTTGTTAGAACATAAAAAAGCACTTTCCTTGTTGCTTCAATCAACAGAATGTAAATGATTGCAAATTCCAGAAGAGTTGACAGGATGAAAGGAAGCGTAAAAACAAACAAATTCTCACATTTGTCCCGACAGCGTGTTTGTTCAAGGTCTCGTCCACTCTCAGCCGAATACAAAGCTCGCGCCCTAATGACGTCATGACGCCTTGTGAAGCGTGAAACAAGAAGCGAGAACCGTGAAACAGGAATTTACAATCCGTTACTGTATCAAATAATTTCGGAAATGGAAGAAGAAGACAGGAAAAGTCCCTAAGAATGATCTCATTTGCAAAATATGAGCGAATAAACTTCACCTTTTACGAAGTTATATTGCGGAGAGTTACGGGCGTCTTCGTGAATCCAACTCAGTTCAAGACACCAATATCGCACTAACAAAAACATCAGACATATAAAGTCTCGTCGGAAATAATTTATGGGGTGTGTACCAACGTCACATAACAAAAGACTTTTGTATCCTGGTAACTCTGCTTTTTACCATAGCAGATCGTATTGTACAGGTTCACAGAATCTTAATCCTGGGTGTTAGCATTCAGTACTTTTGGGTGGTATTATTTGTTCTGAGAAATCCCGACAGAATCCTATGAGAGAATCACCGACTCTTTGCACCCCAGTAGATAAAACCAACAGATAAGTAAAGTCTGATTGTTTCATATATGTAGTGGGAGGGGTTACTGAGTAAAAGGGGTGACAGGCAGAACGATACAAGACATACAAGGACAGGACACCGTTGCGTGGCTGGGCGCGGCTGGCTCCCCTAGCTGGCAAGATGAAACAAATCCTGAGCTTATTCTAGCCGCGTCCGTCATAAGTGACCAAAAGTACCTACAGATCCGACGCTCTGGTAACGAGAATGCACAAGTCTCCAGCTGGCGGAACGAACGTTTCACGAAACAAGGAAACTGACTGCGCCTCACACGCTCGGAAAGCTCTACACAGTCTAACAACAGCATACGGGGTTGTAAAATCATTTTAATTTTTCTGAGACAACTACCCTTTAAAACCCCGGTTTTTGACCGGAAAACTATATTTAAAATTTTTACTGATTTTTATATTCTCTTAGTTGCTGTTAGTCTTTACTACTCTTTCCTTTCGGTTCGTTCTACAAGAAGAAAGCCTTAACAACTATCACCCGGTCCCTTCAATTACTTAATACCTTTCACTTTGTCAATAAGTTTAAAGCCACATAACGTTCCTCTAATACTATATTAGCTTTCCTGACTTGGCTAATTTCTACAATATTTATTTCCTAGGTGGCCTTAAGCAATCTTTATTTCGACTTTTCCTTTATTCTATACAGAACAAATACAGTGGAATACAAGGCACACACCCTCGAGGCACTTATTACTGTCCACGTTTTGTTTTATATAGTAACGGAAAACAGAGTTCGAGAAAAGTAAAGAAGCTTAAAAAGAAAGAATACACGATTGTTTTGAGAGAAATTCAATGTTTTCGACAGCGGTTCACTGCGTTTTTTTTTTTCGCATTGTAACGCGTTAAACCATGGTTTGAGCTCCAGAGGGTAAAATTACAGTCAATGTATGAGGGAAATCAAAAAGAAATCGATTTTGGTCCGAGTAAGCGCGAGGTTCGAGTTGGCTAGGGTTCGAGTTATCGGGAGTCGACTGTATTCTTATTCTGGAATATGATCAGTCGAACGCACCCTTAAACGGACACCACGAGTTACCCGTGGGAGGACTCCCATACGAATATGACGGGGACGTTTTTCGTCTCCTCTCGCGCAAGGGTCAACAATTGAAATATTAGATAGTTTGGTCACGCTTAAAGTGCTGAAGGGCCTGTTTCTTGAAAGAGACGATAACTTTTCGGGCCCGAAGGCAAATTTTCAAGTCAAAACCTGTTGAAAAGTATAGCATAGTTCCTAACTCATAAACCCGTCAATTTTGCTGCGTTACCTGATAGTCTTGTTGTTTCATTTTCAAAATTATTGAAACTTTGAGCTTGAATGCCAAAACGGCAAACATAAAACAACTTTACGGCCCCGAAAAGTTACCGGGACTTTCGAGAAACAGGCCCCAGGACGGAAAACAATTTTTTTTTTTACCTATTAAGGTATCGCTTGGGGATGCACGTTAAGAAATCTCTATAAATAATATAATTAATAAACAAACAAAGAATGTCGTCATACTGTGTTGGTGTAGTAACCTTCAGGGTTCGAATAAAGCCACATTTTTAAGAGTTCAATTCTAATTTTCCGACGGGTATCCCCCTCTTTTTCGTATGGCAGTCCCCCACCGGAAGAGTTAGTCCTTGCCATTCTCAATTTACCCTCTATTGAGAAGACAACTCTCAAAGACGGCCACGTAGTTCCGGTCTCACGGTGTCCGTCTGCACAATTGCATGCACAATTTTGGCAACTTGGGACCCACTACTCTGCTACACGATCGTTCTTTGTGTCGTCACGCAACGCTCCATCCCAGAGCGTTGCGTGACGACACAAAGGAAGGGTTGTTATTGTTAACATTGCTAGATGTTCTATGTAACGTAACCTAAAGATGGAACATGTGGTTAATAAATTCTCTGTGTGTCACGCAAACTAAAGATGAGTGTCACGATCAGACTCTCGAAAAAAGACCGCAATGTCAAGTGGGTATTCACTCTGGCTAGCAAAGGTCTGACGAAACAGCTGCGCGTGTTGCCAGGCAACGTCTCCTTTCCCGCCACTGATGGTAGCTGTGAGTTTGAGGGTCTTGGAGCCACTCAGAGCCGAGGAAATGGTTGATTCTTGTCCTGTAAGAGGAGAATAAACGATAAATATAAAAATAGTAGTGAACTTACGCAAAAGGACGGCAGAAGAAAGAAGACGGCAAACCTTGTGTGACAATACTGACAATAATTTGGTTGAAAAAGCTTTCCGCCAAACTTCACCCTCCTTTAAACAGATCTTTTTGTAAAAGACCAGAAAACAGTGATGTTAGGTAAAAGATCACGACGAAACATGCAAATAATAGCCCTGTCACGTTTGTCACACACAAGCGTTTTGCCGTACTGTTGTGTAAGCTCACTAATAACACTTGAATTTAAATTTAAAAACAGTTACCACGATTTAACAAATGCAGTGGAAAATAAAACCACCTACCCCCAGAAAGCTTCTCCCGTTGGCTCTCGTCATCTCCACTTAGCACCCAGTCCACTCTACCTGTCTGAAACGTGGTGCTTGTTGCCACTATGGTAACGCTGTCAATCACTAAATTGCAAGAACTTAAATCTACCTGCCATGTTATTGAGCCTGTTGAAGCAGATTCTGTCCTCGATAAATATGTCTGAAAATAACAGTTCATGAGAATTACAGGGGCTTTGTGCTGCTATATATACTTGAAAACATACATGGTGTCTCACAGCCTCGTTTCCGGGATGGAAACGAGAGGACCGTGGCGACGAATTTGGGTCTCTTATGCTGCACTGTTTCCAGTTACAGAGCTGCAAGTTTTTCCCAAAAGCTCGCGTTCTTGAAATCACATGGCATTAACCAACAGAACCGTTTCCCGGCAAAAGTCTCTACACGAACCACACCATGCAAAACCGAGGACGTCAGTAGGCGGTAGTCCTGAATAGGACTGTCATTGTTGACGATCATATCCAGCCTACTTATCAAATGACTCCTGGGTTCAGACCCTTCACGGTAGTCCATAACTCGCCAGTGTTGACTACCCCGTGTAGCATGAAAATTTTGCGGGTTCTAATTTTTGCGAATTTTGCGGATTGACCTCGATCAGCAAAAATTAGTTCCCGCAGAAAAAAAACCGCAAAATAAAACGCCGCAAAAGTTAACTCCCTGCAGTCAAATTAAAAACTATGCTTTTAATGGACTTGTTGTGTTTGGTAGGGATAGGCTTTTGTTCTGTTTTGCTGTTGTTCAGTCCCTTTGTGCAGTAAGATATTACAGTGACTACCGTATTATTCTCCACTAAATATGTAAGTAGAGTGAACTTTGACTCAACATACGTAAAATAAAAGTTGAAAATACCATATTAAGGTTTCTTCCACTTAAACATTCTGCTACTTGAACAGAGAATCGCAAAAATTAGTTCCCACCAGAAATTTCAGTCATCTCGAACCGCAAAAATTTGTTCCCGCAAACCACAAAAAATCGCCAATCCGCAAAATATAATTCCGCAACACGGTAGTACTTTGTTTTTCCATTGAATTTACTAAAGTAAAAACTCGCGAATACAAGAACTCCTGTTTTTCGGTAACACGAACAAGAATGGTAGAATGAAGTGAGGTTCTTATATATCAGGTTCTCATAAGAGGATCTGGATGAGGTTAACTGACAATTATAATAACATTTACCTTGAGTTTTACTGACAAATGACAAAGGACCTGATTGTCCTTTATTATCTGCAAAACCCGTTTTGAGGCCTTTCAAGCAAGCAAGCAAGCTGTCAAGCGAGCACGCTCTCAAGCGAGCAAGC